GACATCAGTAACTAAATGATTTTCTGCTTTCGATCTCATCTTGATTTATTCGCGTTTGAGTATCAATTTCTGTTTCAATTTTTTGAAAATTATTGCTTTTTTCGGTATTGATAGTGAGGATCTTTTTTGCAGCCAAATTGCAATTTCGTTGAGTGTTGTGTGATGCTTTTGAGCTAATAATTCATTTGACACTGAAAACAAATTTGCAATTAAAAATGCATTAAGAAAGTCTGAAATTTTGCTGTTGTGAGGATAAATTAGTTTAAAAAATAGTGAAACGAAGTGGACCTAAAACTGAGCCCCAAGGCACTCCAAAGGAAAGTTTCCAGTGATGATTTTATTTTACTAAGATACATAAGCTGTAATCTGTAGTCAAAGTAGGATGTAAAAAACTAGAAGACGTAATCCATAAGAGTAACATATTTCCTGAAACTGTATATGATTGTCTATTCCGAAAGCCTTAATACGATCAAGAAAAGTACTTGCGTTGATTTTTTCTGATTCTTTTGATACTACGGCATCAACTGAGCAAAGTTTTAGTTTTCAAAGTTTTAACCCAAAACAGAAAAAAATTGAAATTGGTCTGTAGTTTTTTGGTTTACGTTTAGATACCTCCGTTTGAACCAGATTTACTGCTGCAGTTTTTAAGCACGCTGGGAAATAGCCTTTTCACAACACTTTTGGAATAAGTCTTTCAGCTATGGGGCAGTTTCGTTAATTATTGATCTTAAGAAAAAACATAATTCAAATTGAAACAATCTGTACGATATTTTGATTTTAATGTAGCATTGATTTATGTGTGCCCCTGGTCTTTATGCTGACATTTGAGCTCCGAAAGTTGACAAGTGAGCCAATGTCTGATTTATAGCTGTTATAGACGAAGAGTTTTTCAGGTGATATGAACTTACCCGCCTTCTTGATGGGCATCGTTTTTTGTGAGAGCTCAAGTTTTCTCTTTGAAACAATAATGCATAAGTAAAAGCTGCTCTGAATCTTTGAATACAAGTTGAAAAATCATAGCTTTCAAAAAACAGTCAGGGGTGGATTTAGGGTAGTGGCACGCACACCTCTTCCTCAGGGAGCCGAAACCCTCACTAACCAAAGCATTTTCCTTTGGCATGGTTTCAAGACACCCATTTTGGCCAACCAATTGCGAAACTTTACAAGGTGCCTTCGTACCTTCGAAGCTACTGTGTACTATTTTTTTATGTGAGCGCGAGCAGAGAAAAATCTATATTTTTGTCAAATCCTTCAAACAAAATTTGATCATTTTTACACAAAACTGCCTGTGATCAGTAGCGGATTAAGGGAGGAGGGTAGTGAAGGGTTGGTCGGACGCCCCCCGTCTCAATGATTTGACCCCCTGCCAACCCAAAGAGTCCCCTTTGAACTGTTCTGAGATATCCATTTTTGGCTGACTGATCCTAGAGTTTTTCTAAACGCGCCTTCGGTGCCAATATATACTAATTTTGAGTGGGGATCAAAATTTTCCAATAAAATGTCCAAAAACGTCTTTTTTGGTTTTTTTTCAAAAATTTGCCGGCGGCTTAGAAAATTTTTTCAAAATGGGGTCTTCAGAGTGATTTGGGAAAGCTCAGAAAAAAAAGGTCGAAAAAATTTTCGACGTTTTTCTGAAAATCCTAGATCCGACCCTGCCTGTGATTCAGAAATTGTGGGCGAAATAAGGTCTTTTTAGTGTTTTTTAGAACCTCGGATATTGAATTTGATTGACCTAAAACTAAAGGCTTTTGACAGTTTGCCCTCACTTCCCCAAGATTTTATATCCGCGCCTGTAAAGAATCATTAACTCTTAAGCCCTGTAAATGCCCAAAATTGGTTCAGAAAATAAAAGCAGTAATATCGGTTATTGATCTTTGGAAAGTTGCTTTGACAAAAATGGCGGATCTTTATTAACCAAGAAGACTGCGAAAATGTCTCAGCAAATTTATATGACACAACTACAGGTCATGCTCCCATACAACATTGGATGGGGTCTATTTGTATGGTTTGATTAACAAATCCAGCAGAAATAAATTCTATTTCATAGCCCACCAAAAGGTCCCTGTAGTTGTAAAAAGACATGGGGCGTCATTAAAAGAGATAGTCATAAATTAAACAATTTGAGCTCGTTCAATTTGCAAATGTGATCCAAATAGAAGACAAATGGAGCGCTATGATACAAAAAGTATCTGTAGTCATTCAGGCGTAGTAACCAGTACTAACTAGTAGAAAAACACTAATAACAATTTAATTAAAACGTAATTTTTCTGTAAGAAGCTATTTATATAGTTTTCAATAAATTTAAAATTGTTTTAGTCTGTAGTGGCTCAAAGAAAAAAATTGTTTACGAAGTAAATAATTTAAAGTCGTATTAGTCGAAAAAATTGCTGTTGCCCTGTTCAAGAAGATGTGCATTGTATCAGTTTTTAGAGCTCTCATCCCGGCTGACCATAAGCTGCCTTACACAAAACGGGACATATTGACACAAATGAGGGGAGGGGGGGTTGAAATTTTTTTTAACCCTAGAAGTTTTCTTCAGTCCTTCATAGTTTTCTTAGATTCTTATCAGCTAGCATTTCGTCCCCTGAAACACACATATCTGCTGTTTCCTCCTGATTTTTTGTTGGGTTGATGTTATAGAGACCCAGGTTGACCCAAAATTGCGTATAAATCATTTTCATATAATTTTATACGCAAAGAAAATCGTATGAAAACTTGAACTTTATAACCCTTTTTCAGGAAATTTTTTTGTTTGAGACTAGAAATAGTTTTCCGACTGAAAGTTTTTTTAAATGTTCCCTCAATTTTTGATCTATTACTTGTTCCCGCTATGAGGTTCCATGGATAATAATCGATTATCCTATAATTTCATGGTCTCCACAAAATTCTAAAATAATCAATTATAATGGATTAAAAGTTGATAAGAAAACGAAAAATTAGATATCACTTCATCCATAATAATCGATTATAAACAACTTGGTTCTTTTACAATTTCCGGCCACATTTAAATTTCAGTTTTGAAAAAACTGTTTTAACTTTGTCATTGTGATGATTCTTTGGGGGAGGTTCTCATGCTTGAAGGACCGAATGCTTGAAAAATTTCAACCTATCAAAATCGCCAAGCGTTCTTATTGGCTAAATGCCTTTCTCACAAAATCGAAATCAATATTAACAGAAAATTTTTTAAATCAGTTAAAAATAATCAAAAATATTACAAATTGAGGGTTACAACCGCAATACTATTCAGATAATAATCAAGATTATTGAGGTAAAAATCATAAAAAATTTCTCAGTCTTGAAAACTCATCTACTTATAATCTAATCGGTCAATATTAACACTAATGGCCTGGATTTATTTTCTCACTTTGAGATTTTTGCAAATTATTTTGAGATTTTGAATACTCAATTCTGATTGGCTGAAAGTAAGCTAAAATTAATTTCAAGCCTTCGGTCTTTCAAGCATGAGGGGCGCCACCATGCTTTGCATGGTGAACAAACTGATTATTCTGAATAGATCTGTTCTTCATACCTTTCATCATAACACCCACGCGTTTAGCCATAATCACACATAATACAACTAACGAAAAATTTAAATTTGAAATTTGGGGGGGGGGGTGGAAAAGAGCCATAGATGTTTATGAGAAACGGTTTAGATTTTCCAAAATTTTGAAAATAAATGTTTGAAAATTGAACGCTACAATCGCTAAATTGTGTTTTACATTTGGCTTCAACTACTCTTTTCTAAATCGGCTGCAGCTAGTATTGTTTTTTTCTACTTTTTTTATTTTTGTCTTCCCTTAAAAACTTCACACTAAGTTAAACCACCATTATTATTATTAGTTCACTTGCCAACATCTCCCCTCCCCGTCACTTACCATTTACTTACATTTACCTTAAAAACACGAGAAAAATACCGTAAACGCTTGACCCCACCTTTCCACGAATGCACTTTTAACCCCCCTGCAGACACTTACACCACCCCCCGCCCCCCCCAAAAAAAACTTATGAGATGAGTGCAAGGGTGTGTGGGGGTAGGGTATGTGGGGGGCTTGGTGGGGGTAGGGTAGGTGGGGGGGGGGGGGGCTTGGTGGGGGTGGGGGTAGAAGGGTGTGAGGATAGGTGGGGGGTGAGGATAGGTGGGGGGTGAGGGTTGATTGGTTGGGATAGTTTTGCGTATTGAGGTGAGGGTTTGGTGTAAGCTTGGGCGTGTTCAACTTGGGTGTTAAAATCGAAAAGAACTGGGTTCAAAGTAGAAGAGATATGCTTTTGTGATTGAGGAAAAATTAAATAAGAGTGAGTAGGTTTAAAAATCGAGTAGCTTGTGAGCAATGCAGAAAAAGCTGCAAAATTTTCAGAAAATTTGCAAAAAATTTATAGATATTGTATCCATTATAATCCATTATAATGGATTTTAAATGAAATTCAATCGATTTAATTTCCCAAAAAGCAATGAAATTTTTTGAATTACATTCGATTGCGTGGTCCCAAAGTGTAATTGTAATCAATTGTTAACCACGAAAATGATCGATTATGATACATGGAACCTCACTGCGAGTAGTCACTTTGCAGCCTTGTAAAAAAACGCTGAGCATACAATTTTCAAGATTAGAAATTTTATGATCTGATAAGAAATTTTTGCATAGACACCATTATATTACCTTGTCATACAATTCGATACCAGTAAAATTCTTGCATGAAATTCGCTTCAACAAAATTGTTTATCACACAATTCTATTCATGGTGTCTATGCAAAATTTTCTTATCAGATCATAAAATTTCCTATCTTGAAAATTGTATGCTCAGCGTTTTTTTACAAGACTGCAAAGTGACTACTCGCAGTGAGGTTCCATGTATCATAATCGATCATTTTCGTGGTTAACAATTGAGTTAGAGCTTCAAATATTTTAAAAAGACTAAAATCTGAATTGAAAAAAAAAGAAATGTTTCAGAATGAAAAGATAAAATTCCGGGTGATGTTTTTCCAGAAAATATATACTAACCCATTAAATGGTCCAGTCCATTTGATGTTCAATTGACATTGAATAATTCAGTTGGCTCTCAGTAGGCAGATAAAAAGAACAATTTGTTTTGGGGCTCTTTGGTCAAGCGAGACAGAAATGAAGCCTTGAGAAGATAATAGAGAAAAGGAAATGGGTAAAAGTATGCCCTCGTCCAAAATGGTATTATTTTCAACCAGAGACAAATCAATTTGAATCTATAATGGTACCAACTAACATAAACAAGAAAGCATAAATATTTATTTCAAAACGCTATCGAAACTTTGATCAAAAATATAAAGGAGGAAATCAAATCAGTTTTCACGACTTGTGTTTTTATAATGTGAATGAGCCATAAAAATTTTTAAAAAAATAAACTGAAGTCAAAATTTGTTATAAAGCCAAAAAATCTGGGCATTTTCAACATCAAATCAAGTTTAATAGGTCAGCTAAATTGATTAACTGTTTTGATGCTCTTTCTCGAAATTAGGCCGATTGAATTCCAGCCCAAATATTTAAAAATTTCAGTCTAGAGCGAAGGAGGGGACTTAAACAAATGCCTTCAGGTACTCACGCTCTTAAGGAAACAGACCAGCTGAGACTGGTGAAAAGACAACGGTAAAAATAAATTTGAAATATATCCTTGGAAGTGTGGGCGTGGTGAGTCTTCTGGGAAGACTCTACAAACTTTTGCTCCTATTTTTTCGATTCGGTTTTTTTGCTATTCTCCCCAGGCGGTCTTGAAAACGCACAGTTTTATACAAAATTTAGTTATTTCATACTCTGGACATTTATTGTTCCCAACTAGCATGAACAAGTGGGTAATATTTTTGTGTTCGAAAAGTTATCAAAAAAAGTAGCGGATTTGGGTAGTGTTTTTTGTTCGTTTTCTTCACAATCGTAATGTGTTACTAATAAATCTTGGGGTCCTGTGCGGGGGGAAGGGTTTATGTTCTGATTGGAGATTACTAGAAAAAAGAGTTGGAGAAAAATTAATATTTTTAGAATATACATGTGTATGATAATCCTGAGTATGGGTTATAAAATGTGATGTAACCAATTGTCTTTTTGGTATATCTGTCGTATTTGTATATTACTTCAGTTGTTATAAATGGTGGTGGTAGTGATTGAGCTGTTATATTTGGCGGGTTTAATGGGTAGGGATGTTGAGTAATGTTGTTTAGTTTAACCGTGATTTCAAATTTTAATTGTAGACTATTTTGTTGGAGTATTTGGATGTTATGATCACGAATGTCTTCGTGGATGTCTTGTCGATATTCTAGTCAAAAGCTCATAAATGTATAAATATTTAACTTTTTCATATAAGCTTTTTTGTAAGGAAACACTTAACGGTAGCCGATATAATTGGTGTCTAGTAACGCATTAGATAGCGAGATATTTAAAATAGTGCAATACATGTATAAAATAGGCCACATGGCCTTTTATAATTCATGTTTTCGAAAAAACATGTTTTGGTTTTTGAAGTGAAGGCATCTATAAATCCAAGGTAGACTGAAAAGTGTAGTTAGAAAAAAGTTATTCGAGTGTTCGAAAACGGGATAAATACTAATCTATAGTTGTAGTAATACTACCCCCAACCCGGACTATTTATGACCTAACAACCGTACTTGAGATATTAAATGCTAAATTAGATAAACGGCTCTGAGCCGTGCTTCGCAAGTCTATAAAGCGCCTGTTTACCATGAATAAATAAGTGACGAAACAAGGGAACACATCTAAGGGCAAGAAATTAGCTCGAAAAAATATCATATTTTTTCAAAATGACATTTCCAAAAGCTTGCAGATAAAACGTTCTTTAATGAAGTAGAAAAAAACAACCGATTTGTTTAAAAAACAGCAAATTGCTTGCATAAGGGTAAAACTTCGTGCGAATTAACTTTAAGAATATCACGGCTAAGAATCCGTTATGCAATTAGTTCAAGGTATCAAAAATCGATATCTTTTCGATTGCAAAAAAGTCCACCACAATAATTATTTAAAAAATCTAATTCTATCTATTGATCTGAAAACAAAAAACACTCCGAGCACAAATATTCAGTTGTCGGAATTCTGTTGTTCTAAAATAAAGTAGAGTAGTCTTCTTAGAAGACACTAAAAAATTAAAGAATTGGCGCTCAGGACTTTGAAAACAATTTAAAAAAAGTTGTATCTCTAATTTTGACAGGAACCTAACTGAGACGAGACATGTTCAAAAGTAGTCAAAACTAACAAAAAATGGCAAAACTCGTGAATTTTAACTAAAGTTATAAATTGCGGGTGTTTGTGAGTGCCTCATTGTTTGCGTGTAACTAACTGTTTCTAAACTTTGTGATCAGTTGCTATAGTTTGTATAGTTTTACATCTAAAAACAAGAAAATAGCTCAAGGAAAAAAACAGGGTGCGCAAAATATCATGTTTTTATAAATGACTTCTTAGAATCAGTTTCAAAAGCTATCAGAAAGAAATGTTTCTCTAGTGAAGTAAGAAAAAATAAATAGACTGCTTGCATCAAGGCAAAACCCTGAATGTTTTGACTGCCCTTTAATTAGCCTCGGATAGTTTTTGGTAAATCAAATTTTGGCAAAACTATGAAATTAAGGCTGATAATGTCACAAATTAAGTGTTGCAATTTGGGTTGTGTAAGGTTTGACCTAATAAAACCAATTAGCTGTCTCGATTCAATTTAGAAAAATTTTGTAGTGCGCAAAAAAAACAAGTAGTTTTAGACAAACACATGGCAGGCTACTAAGCTCAAAGTTTTTTTCGAAAATAAAGCGAAATAGTCTTATTAAAAGACACAAAATATCAAAAATTGGCACTCAGGACATAGAAAAAAATATATAATTTTTTAAAAAATCGTATCTCTAACTTTGACAGGAACCTAATTGAGACCTGTTTAAAAGTAGTCAAACCAAAAAAGGAGGTAAGACTCGTGGTTTTTGAAATTTTTTAAAATTGTTAGTTTTTGTTTGAGCGTCATTTTTTGCGTTTATCTAACTGTTACCTACTCCTAAACAATGTCTGAATCAATTCAATAAATTTTGAAATTAGTTTTTGATAGTTTTCGATATCGATTTCTCCAACAATTAAGTTGAGGTAATAAAAGGGCATAGCAATAAAGATTTTTTGCTGCTTAGCTGGCCCAATTGGATTTTTGTTCCGACCTTTTGAAAAATAACGAGGAACTTTGTATTCGGGTGGGTTTGAGTTTTTTTTTCCACGCAAAATCAGGTACCACAAACAATCATTGGACTGGGTTGGGTGATATATCATATTAAACCCCTTTCGGTAAGAATTCGAACAATTCTTAAAAGTTTTCAAAAGTTTCTCTTAGTGTCGAGAAAAACCGGTTTGAAAATTTTGATTTTTCGTCTTAATTTGAGCGAATAAAAAGGGCAAGGAGGCTTACAACAGCTGAAATAGGCCTAATTTGAGACCTTAAAACGTAAGTTTAAGCAAGTACGACTAGTTTTTGGAGTTTCTTAGCTTCATTTTGGGGAACCCAAAAATTCAAAAAATTCAAATTTTTCTATATAAATTTTTGGTTCAATTACTATGACTGTCTAATAAGCCTAAATTATAGTTTTTACATCAGATCCTTTGATCACAACAGTCAGAAAAAACCGTAATTTTTAAAAAAAAACCTCTCTAAAACCGTAGTTTTCCAAAGACCATGGTCGGAAAATTCTGGGCTACTTTTACAGCAACCGACTAACCTTGTTTTTTTTATTTTGATCGCTTTTTATTTTGATCGCGGTTTTCCGTATTCGACTTTAACTTAGATTACATGCACGGTAAGTATACCCCGAACAATTAACATAACGCACACTTAAGTAGCCCCGCACTCGAGTTTCATGAAGAATAATCAATTATTTTGTCATTTCCTATTCAGTAACCACAAAAAAAAAATAGTCGATTATAATCCATTAAAAATGAAATATAACGCTCATACATTTCTTATCAACATAATCTATTGCAATCGACTTAGATCGATTATAATCCATTAAAAATGGATTATAATCATATTTATCCATGAAAATATATTTCATTATTATCGATTAAAAAGACATTTTTTGAAGGGTTATTGAATTTAGGTATTGAATTTTGTTAATTTCACAAAATTTTCAAGTTATCGTTTTACTTTTTACATGAGAGAAATATTTAAGTTTCGCTATGTTTTTTCAATTTGACAGTTTAACATTTTTTTAAACTATTCTGTTGAACAACGCCCCGCCCACTACTTCTCCCTGAACTGTTCATACACGCAAGTAGGAGGGGGTAAACTGGGAGTGGAGTGGGGGGCTGTGTTAAAATGGGAGTGGGGGATGAATATTAGTTTGGGTTTTAAACTTGCAGAACGCTAGTTTTTTTTAAATTTTTGGTGTCTGCAGATGTTTTACAAAATGTATTTGTGCAAAGTTTTTATCCAATCGTTTCAAGAATTTAATTAGCTTTAAGCAAATTGCTGCAGAAAAAAAATCATATTTCATGATTTTTTGTGGTCGAAAAATTGTATATTTTCTTAGAAGATATGATTACAAGGGATTTTAAAATCATGAAAATAAACAATTTTAATTCCATCCAACCATGAGTCCATTTTCATGGTTGGATGGGTCATAAAATCGATTTTATGGGTTACCTTTTTTTGCCAATATAATCAATTATAATCGATTACTTCCCATGAAACTCCAATGCGAGAGTCCCACCCAGATAACTAGGAGAAAAGCATGCTCGCTTCGCTTGCAGGGAGCTTCTAGAATCTGTTTTTATTAAAATTTCTAATAAATCACTGTTTTGTATTTTAAAAATTAGGGTTCTTCGCTGTTTCCATCATTTTGTTAGCTCTGCAGTTCTTTCAACTACAAGTCTCCCAAATGTTGCTCCCTAGAACGCTGCAACTGATTGAGAATCAGAAATGTTCTCAGGTAAAACTTAACCATAAACGAGAATCAGAAATGATCTTCCTTTTTACTTTAACCAACCTTTCAGTATTATTTGGGTTAAACCAGTGCATCAACCGAGTAAAAACTACCTGAAAATAAGTTTTGCCTGATAATGAAATATATATTAGATAAAAATAAATCCGGCAAACTGTGGACTTTGAGGGGGGAGGTTGTAGGGGGGGGGGTTTGGGGGGTAGGGGTTGGACGCCTTTCTTTCAGGAAATCGACCCCCTGCCGCCCCAAAGGGTCCCCCTTTGTACTATTTTGAGATATCCATTTTTGGTGACTGCCCCTAAAATTTTTTTAAAGGCGCCTTTGAGGCCAATATATACTAATTTTGAGGGGAGAGCGCGCCGAAAAACGCGACTTTTTTGTGAAAATTTTCCAAAAATTGCCTAAAAACGCCTTTTTTGGCCTGTTTTTCGAAATTTCGCCTGCGGCGCTGAAAATTTGGTCAAAATAGGGTCTTTATAGTGATTTAGGAGAGCTCAGAAAATCAATTTGGTCGACTTAAAAAAAAGGTCGACAAAATTTTTGAAATTTTTTGAAAATCCGCCCTTCGGACTTCTGTGCAAGTATTTGAAAAGACATGGGATATTTCCCTTTTACCCAAGACATGGGATTTTTCCTTATTACCTATTGACAAGTCTGGTAGAATTTTTATACTTTTAAATTTGACAAGAACTTGTCAAGATAATCAAGATTCTTAACGATCTGTCAAAGATATTA